ATTTTGGTATGAAATATTTATTTTAATATTTACAAAAAAATTCTATCTTTAACAATGAAACATGCACAACAATGTAGAAATCTGCTGTACTAAAGAAGAGCCAGGGAAGACAGAAAACACTTCTGGAAATAAATTGTTATTATAAAATTATTCAGATTAATTTTTTCCTACAACTTTTAAAGAAAATATCCGTTTACTGAAGTGTCAGTTTTCTGAAATGTGGGCCAATAGATACCTGCAGGTCAAACAACTCTGACAGAAATATGTGTTTAGAGGTTTCCTCTCTGTTACACTCCTCATTACTAGGAGACATGCAAGGTGGGAGTTCCCCACTGAATACGTTCAAAAGCACAGTTTCTAAATAAAAAATTCCATGTTCAGCAGGATAGTCAGTGGTTTTTCATCACTGAATGCTGATAACCCATCCAAACCTGCCTGTCTCCTTAAAGGACCCTCAATGAGATGAAGGTGTTTCGTGATACCTTTTTTTTGCAAGCTTGTAATGTATTATTTATCAATGTAGGTCCTTCCAAATATTAATAATATATATCCTCCTACTTCTGCTTTGAAAACCCTTTTTTTATCCAGCTTTACTAAGTTCAGAAAATAAATTTAAACTTTATCCTGTGAAATTTAATATTGCCTTATTTGATTAGGTGATCTATAGCATAAGTTCTTTGGCATAAGTCCATTGCAAAACTATGGTCCTGATTATGTGACATAAAAATCTTAACCCTGCAGCAGTTTGTGTTAAAGAACCTTTAGTCCTTTTTTTCAGTCTATACTTCCTGGATTTGTTGACCAATGAGGAGCAATGGGATACTGGAGATCTCAATCCCAGCAGCACCTCGGGGTCCTGACCTCTTGCCAGGCCTGAATTTGGCACCCACACAGATTGGATTTTAAAGACTTATTTTTTCACGTAAACTAAAATTCTGCACAAGTATCCTTTTAGTTATGGTAGTCAAGCAAATGGCAAACTCCATTTCCAGACAATTAATTACTCAGAATCATTTCAATGTTTTCAAGGGAAAAAAGAGGAAAATACAGTTGCTATGTTCAAAATATAATTCATACTCCATTTTTTCTCACACAGTTATTTTGTTTAGATGCAATTAGCCTTGTGTGAATTTCAGGCACACTGCACATCATCTCATATACTGCTTAACCAAACAGGGCTGGCTAAGTAAATCCCCATTGATTGAGACTGTCGCCTGTAACATACGCAAAAAAAAAAAAGCTATACCAATACACTGGAGTCCCCACACTGACATTTTCGCTTGTAAGCCATGTTAAGTGTTTGTTATTTTCAATATCAACACAAATCTCCAATCTTATTCTCTTCTGTTTTGTTGAGAGTAGCTGCTGTAATTTGTCTTTTGTGACATTTGATATAATAGAAAGAAAAGGTTTTCAACCTCACTAACATGCAAAGTACAGGACAAGCTTCATCTCTTGTGTGTGATTTTTTTTCTTCTTCATAGCAACAATTGGGCAAAGATGTCTTAACTGCAATTCGTGCATTAAATGAGACCTGGAGGCTATGTTCTTCAAAGAGGATATATTCCATTATTTCTCTGTGTCATGAAAACCATCTGACATTATGTAAAACTTGTGCATTTTTTGCACCACCAGAGTAGATGAAAGCATGTAATAAGATATAAAATACTAAGACCCCTAAAAAAGGAAGTAAAATATACAGTTGAAAACCAGAATGGGAGTGAGCACTGGGCACATGAAGCTTGCCAATGTACTGAGTTTTCAGTCTCTAGGCAGTTACATTATTTCCTGTTGCACCCATGGTACCCTTTCAACAGCAAATGTTCCAGCTGAAAGGAAGGAGAAGACTGCAATTGTGGGCAGTTTAACAAGCACTGAGGATGAAGACAGTAGGAATGATGGTACAAAGAGGCTCTCTGGGATAATTTTCTCATTGATCAGGTTTGGATGATCCCACAAGTGCTTTGACAGCATGTCATGAAACTAAAGGGGATACCATCTAAGGTCTGACAAAATAAAGAAGTCTTAGGATTGAAATTTAGGCTAGCAAATTAAACCTGAAGATAAGGACATTCGTAGTAGCATAGTTTGAACTATTCTCACCATGTACAGTCAGGAGAAAAAGATTGAAAGGCAATGTTTTAAATGCCTGGCTGAGAAAAAGCGGTGAGGAGAAGTGACTCACATTATTGGAATGTTGGAGCACTTTTTAAAGAATAAGAAAAATTGCAAAATTCATTTTGGCCATGAGAAAAATAGGTTTAAAAACTTTTCTCTGACCATTGTGATACCTAGTGAAAAGTTCAGGAGAATTTTCAGGTGTTGGAAAGCACAAAATTAGAAAAAAATTGCAAAGGTTTGCAGTTCAGACAAAGGGTGCAGTGATGAGAATTCTGCATTCTTAAATGGAGAATGCTACAAAAGATGATAGCCCAGTAGGAAATGCAGAAGTGGCAGCTCATGCTGGATCAAACTAGGGACCAGTAAAGAGAAGAAAGAAAGCCATAATATAAAGCCAAGGGTTAAAATGGGAACTAGTATAGGTAACTTTAATGACTAATGTTAAAAAAGAATATCAGCATTATACCCATGTTCAATATCTGTGGGAAAGAAGAAAATCAGTCAGGCAGCATGATATCAAGGAGCAAAACATGCAGGATAGTCACAGAAGACTTTAGCAGTGGAAGAATAATGATGGTTGTGAAAGGCATCTTTGTCAACTAAGACTTTAAAAAGAGGACAGTATTAACAGCTTTTCTGGAAAAGTTTCCTAGTTAATTTAAATTTTGAAACAACTATAATTAGTTTAAATGTAACATTTGTGCAGGAGCCATAAAAACCAGAATTACAAGATGGTTGCATTCAGTTAAATGAATAATGAGAAGAAAGTGGAAATAAATAAAACTGAGGCATATTACTATAGAAGTTCTGAATGAGATAGCTGAGACTGTTAAATCACTATGGGTGGTGTGGATACTATCTAGGGATATCATTTAGAAGACCCACAGCAAATGCACCTATCCATTAAAAGGCAAATCTGTAAGGGCAAACAGCATAGCTAATAAAAGCAAGAGCACATATTTCAAAAAAAATGAAGTTGTGTCTCAGAGAGGACAATAGAAAGAACCATAAAACCTGCTTTATCTATAAAACCATAGTAAAGGAGACAATAAATGAGTTTGAATAAATCTCTCCAAACAAGCTAATAATAATTGTCTTTTAAGACATCTGGGGGCCAAAGCCTGAGAGGAACTGTGTAAAGCCAGCCCAAAACTGAGATACAGAAGTGCTCAGAGAAGATAAGATCACAAATGTAAAACTTATTCCTTTTTTTCTTTTTTTTTCTTTATTTTTAGTACAGAAACATTGGAGATTTTTTTCTATGCTAGAACTTTATAGGGGACTCAGGAGAAGGTTAAATTAGCTATAGAAGCAGTTGTGGAACAAACAGACACAACAGTAACAAATCATTTGGATTAGCTGTTACATGCCCAAGAGCCTGAAGAATGAAATAAGGGAACTATTATGATGTGCAATATTTTGCTTCAAACCACTGTGGCACAAGAAGGCTTGGAGGTATAATATAACACTGATGTTTTTTCCCCCAAAAGTTCTCCAGGGAGTCCAGGGGAGCTAAGGATGGATATGACTGACATGTACAGGCAAAACAGTAGGAGCAGATTTGCTCAACTCAGAGAGAATTTCCCATAGTGAAAAAAGAGAAATCAACACAGCTTCTCTAAATAAAGCTGATATTTTGCAGTGCTTTCTGAATTCTTTGAAGAGACTAACATGCAGGCAGATATGTAAAGATGAACTCAAAACAAGTGAAGGGAAGCTGTTTGTTGTATGATATATGATTAGTCTGTGTACCGCTGACAGAGGATGTAGACTCTGAAATTTAGTGTAAGTTTCAGAGCAATGGGACAATTTGCAGCAAGAAAAATACATTGAGAGTTGTTAAATACAAAGACACCTTTAGAACCAAATATAATTAGAAAGTAAGGAAGTTTTATGAAGTATTGCTTGGTCTGTTTTATGGATAACATCTAGACATGAGGGTAAGAAATGGAAGGACCAAATGGATCCTTCTCATAACATGATCTTTCTTACATGCCTGCAAAAGCACAAGCCCTTTTCAGATTGAGTAAAAGAAGAATTTTTATATGAGAGAAAACTTCACAGTCACAGATGTGGTTTTGTACCTACAGAGTATTCATAATACATGTAGTGGGATTTCAATTCATGGGCAAGGAAGAGATAGAAAGTAAAAAGCTGCTGTGATCTTACTGCAGATTTATGCAATATATTCTAATACAAATTTGCTCTACTAAAGATTTTTAGCAGCTAATTATTTTTGCATAGTTATCAAGATTTATGCTTGATTAGTTTCTGCATTTTGAAGGTACAGAATATAGAAAATTTCAGTGAATTTATGGAGACAAGTAAGTGACAATCCTCTTAATCACATACAGACTATGAAACTCTTTAAATTAGCATACTTCTGAAAAGCTTAATTTAAACTAACTGATGTGAAACATAATAAATTATCAGTGAATGATCACTGTTTTGAGGCTGTAAGTGTTTTAAGGGACAGCTATAATCTTCTGGGCCAAGACATATAAAAATCTGTTCCTGAATATCATAACAGTAACTTTTAGCATGAGCTAGCTCTGCCTTTGGTATCTGGAAGTCTGAGGTTATAAC